GGGCAGAGAACTCGGCTGTGGCAGAAGAAGAATCAGGAAATCATATGACAATGGGTAGTCACCTAAATCCTGCAGTGGTATGAATCCAACAAATTTTGTTTCTCCCTTTTTGTATTTGCAGTTGGATGTATATAACCACGATCGTTCTGTTCCAAATATATTTGCAGAGTCAGGTTTAGAGTGCTCGATGAGAATATAATGTATTAAAATGCTTCTTAAACTAACGGATTTTCTCTTGGTTGGCGTGATGCAGGATGGAACTCATGCTAGAAACATTAGTAGTGTCTCTACGGTGGACAGTGGTGAGAAGAAGCAAATAATATCATTATTTCCAGAAAACTCTTGTATTTTATTCTGTGAGAAGAATTTCACTTACTCATCTGCTCTTCTTTGACATTTTTTGAAGAATATATTGATGAATCTGGTAACCCGATATGGAAGAATAGGGTGGAAAGTTGGAAGGAGAAGAAAAACAAGAAGAAAAAACCAGCAAAGAAAGATAAAAAGGAAGCTGAAATTCCACCTGAGGGGCAGATGGAAGAAAATCAGGAGTAAGTTTTCTGAGAGTTAGGATGAAATCTTTAACAATGAACAGAAAGAGTGATTAATAAACAAGAAGCCTGGATCCATTGTTTATGAACTTATATATTATGAGGTAAAAATATCTTATGCAGGTCAGTTGATGCTTCACAGCCACTTTCAAGAGTAGTTCCAATACCAAAAACTCAACTTACACCATACAGAACTGTGATCATAATGCGATTGATTATCCTTGCTCTTTTCATCCATTATCGAGTAACGCATCCCGTTGATAGTGCATATCCTCTGTGGCTCACTTCTGTCATCTGTGAGATCTGGTTTGCATTTTCCTGGATACTGGATCAGTTCCCTAAATGGTCTCCGATAAATCGGGATACATATATTGAGAGGTTATCCGCAAGGTATGCATCTTTGATCTACAACTTGTTTTTGGTGCTCTGCATGCATAAGCAGAGAATAGTTTTTTAAACTTCAATAAGCTAAATGCGTGTTTGGTATCAATATTAGATCGCACTCGTATGTATAAAAGACAACATATTTATTTCTTTTTCTAATTTAATCCTGTCCAGTGTAGTCTGATTTACTGTATCAGACATGCCGTAAGAGCTCCTTGTTTGGGATACATGTTAAATTTTATTTGAACTAATTTTCTTATCTGATATATCAGGTATGAAAGAGAGGGGCAACCTACTGAACTTGCTGCTGTGGATTTCTTTGTTAGTACAGTCGATCCTCTGAAAGAACCTCCTCTGATTACGGCAAACACGGTTCTCTCCATCCTTTCGGTGGATTACCCTGTTGATAAAGTTTCGTGCTATGTTTCTGATGATGGTGCAGCAATGCTTACATTTGAGTCACTTGTTGAAACTGCTGAATTTGCAAGAAAATGGGTTCCTTTCAGCAAGAAGTTTAATATTGAACCACGTGCACCCGAGTTTTACTTCTCACAGAAAATTGATTACTTGAAGGATAAAATACAGCCTTCTTTCGTCAAGGAACGCAGAGCAATGAAAGTAATTATGAATCCATAATCACTTAGAAATAATATTTGGATCCTTTGCCATGATGAATTAGTAACTCAACGTATTGTATTTAAATATCAAAATTGAAATCTCACTGTATTTATTTCCTCGAGTTACAGAGAGATTATGAAGAGTACAAAGTGCGCATAAATGCTTTAGTAGCAAAGGCACAAAAAACACCAGATGAGGGCTGGACCATGGCAGATGGAACCCCTTGGCCTGGAAATAACACCCGTGACCACCCTGGCATGATTCAGGTTTACTTTAGTAACTACAATATTCTTGCATTGATTATTTAGTTTTACTTATTCATTAATTCATCGTAGACGAAAAATTATATGGCTTTGGTTGTATCATTTTCAGGTGTTTTTAGGCCATACTGGTGCCCATGACATAGAGGGAAACGAACTTCCTCGATTGGTTTATGTCTCAAGAGAGAAGAGACCTGGTTATCAACATCACAAAAAGGCCGGTGCTGAAAATGCTCTGGTATATACCCATCTACACAATATATGAACAGCTGCCTTTATGTGATTCGTATTGAATTTGTAAATGCTGCATGTATTCTTGCAGGTAAGAGTATCTGCCGTTCTCACAAATGCACCTTATATTCTCAACCTTGACTGTGATCACTATGTTAACAATAGCAAGGCAATTCGTGAGGCAATGTGTTTCTTGATGGATCCTCAAGTGGGCCGAGATGTATGTTATGTGCAGTTTCCTCAGAGGTTTGATGGAATCGATAAGAGTGACAGATATGCCAATCGCAACACAGTTTTCTTTGATGTACACTTCCTCTCTCTATTTAAGTTAATATAAACTTGAAATGTGTCCATTACATCCTCTGTACAGCCTGCAAAACTTTACTATTTGCTATGTACATAAGAAGTAACAATTTGGTCAAGATTTGAGTTTCAGCATCAGTAGGAATCTTTATTAGACTCTTTAATAACTATCTTCTGGTTTCAGGTTAACATGAAAGGGTTGGATGGCATTCAAGGACCGGTTTATGTTGGGACAGGTTGTGTCTTCAATCGGCAAGCTCTTTATGGTTATGGGCCTTCCTCTTTGCCCAACTTACCCAAGACTTCATCTTGCTCATGGTGCGCCAGCTGTTGTTGTTGCTGTCGACGCAAGAAGCCTGCTAAAGAGAAAGATCTTGCAGAGGTTTACCGTGATGCAAAAAGGGAAGATCTTAACGCTGCCATCTTTAACCTTAGGGAGATTGAAAGTAAGTTTCTAGCACCAAGATAATCAGATTATTGGTCATCGAATACAAAATCATACGAAAATTAAGATGTATCTATATGGTGATGTTTGTAGGTTATGATGAGAGTGACAGGTCATTGATCCTCTCTCAGATGAGCTTTGAGAAAACTTTTGGATTGTCTGCTGTTTTTATCGAGTCTACACTAATGGAAAACGGAGGACTGCCTGAGTCTGCCAATCCTTCAATGCTAATCAAAGAAGCAATCCAGGTCATCAGCTGTGGGTACGAGGAAAAGACTTCCTGGGGTAAAGAGGTTAGAAAGTTACTTCTTGTATCAATATTACAACTTATTTTTCCTTCCTTCGAAACATAATAGGAAAAACAGGAATATTTTGGTGCATATTGATGTTAAGTTTCTCTTGAAGAAAAATAATTCACATCCTGAAATTTGGTGTTTTCTTTCTTAGATTGGCTGGATATATGGATCAGTTACGGAGGATATCTTGACGGGGTTCAAGATGCATTGCCGTGGTTGGAGATCAATTTACTGCATGCCCTTAAGACCAGCATTCAAGGGATCAGCACCAATCAACTTGTCCGATAGGCTGCACCAGGTGCTTCGATGGGCCCTGGGTTCCGTCGAGATTTTCTTGAGTAGACATTGTCCTCTGTGGTATGGATTTGGTGGTGGCCGTCTCAAATGGCTCCAAAGGCTTGCATATATCAACACCATTGTATATCCTTTCACGTCTCTTCCACTGATTGCGTATTGCTTGATTCCTGCTATATGCCTTCTAACTGGGAAATTCATTATTCCAACGGTATGTTCTTTTGCCTTCCAACTGGTTTTGCTGGATTCACCAAATTGTCAAGTTCTTATATATTTGCAGCTAACTCAAAACTACATTTCTTAATGATCATATAGCTGTCAAATCTTGCGAGTGTACTGTTTCTTGGGTTGTTTTGTTCCATCATTGCCACCAGCGTCCTCGAGTTGAGGTGGAGCGGTGTAAGCATTGAGGATTGGTGGCGCAACGAGCAGTTTTGGGTTATTGGAGGCGTTTCAGCTCATCTATTCGCTGTATTCCAAGGTTTCCTAAAAATGCTTGCTGGATTAGACACTAACTTTACAGTTACTGCCAAAGCAGCAGACGATGGAGAGTTCGGGGATCTGTACATCATTAAATGGACAACAGTTTTGATCCCTCCAACATCAATTCTCATTGTAAATATGGTTGGTGTGGTTGCTGGTTTTTCCGATGCCCTAAACAAGGGATATGAAGCATGGGGACCTTTATTCGGTAAAGTTTTTTTCGCATTCTGGGTGATATTTCATCTCTACCCGTTCCTCAAAGGTCTGATGGGACGACAGAACCGGACTCCCACCATTGTTATCTTATGGTCTGTACTTTTGGCGTCGGTTTTCTCTCTTGTTTGGGTGAAGATAGATCCATTTGTGAGCAAAGATGACGCATCTACCATTTCTCAAGGCTGCATTGCCATTGATTGTTAGCTTGTTGGGAATTGCTGTTTGAGTATTATGTTTGATGAAGGATCTTTATTATTCTTCAACAACCGGAATCAATTTTAGATGTCGATATACAAGATTGAACATTATTAGAAATATGATAAATAAGATTTTCAATTCTAATCATATATTTTGCGGATCTAAATTTTTTATCAAAATATTTGTCGTTAGCTGTTGATACAATTCCAAAAGAGTTGTACTATTTATCATCACGGAATATCATTAATGTGACAATTTGTTATCCTCATATTTCTCTTTCCTCTCATTTTCTCTCATAAAAATTGAACTACTCAATTTCATTGTTCCACATAAACTGCCACGTAACCGATATTCCAATATCATAACGATAAATGGCATTATTCACTCCAAAATGTGAAATATTCCGGCTTTGATAATAATTCTTCTCATCACTTTAATATATTTCAATTTTGACCTTTTTATTTTTCCTGTTTTTACTTTCCTCCGTTTTATCCACATTTTTTATTCTCGTTATAATGAGAAATATGGTCGTTGTGTTTTTTTTTTTTTTTTTGAAATAGCAACAATCATATCTATCATAATAATGGGAATCAAACTGTCACTTACCCCACCCAAATTACAAAATAAAAAATAGAAAAATAAATATATGAACTCCAAAGTAGAAGCCAATTTCTCAAATTCCGACAACATTTTCAGATACAAAGGTTTTCTCGCTACAATAATGGCTCTAAAACCATCACTCCTGTACCTCCTCCTCCTTTCCTCTGCCGCCGTCATCTCCTCCCTTTCTCATCCTCCCACCACCAATGTCACCACCATCTCCCCCACCCATTCTCCCTCTGCCCACACCCCTTCTCCCGCCCCAACTCCCAAAAAACCGACCACTCCTATTTCCAATTCCACATCTACCCTTGACCCAAAACAACTAAGAGCCCTCCAGTCCCTAAATATCCCAATCTCCAAAGATCCCTGCTCCGTCCGGCCTCACGTCTTTACCGCCACCGCCTGTGACTCCTCCAAGCCATTCCGCCACCTCCTCTCTCTCACTCTCTCCAACTGCTCAGATGATGTAGCTTTATCTCTTACTGCCCTCAAGTCCCTCTCCACTCTTAACACTATCCAGTTCATCAACTGCCCCATTTCCCCCATTCGCTTCCCCTCTGAACTTACTTCGAATCTCCGTTCCTTCACTTGCATCAACAGCCTCAACAAACTCACAGGGATTTGGCTTAGCAGGCTACAAAATGTATCTGATTTAACTGTTTCCCGAGTGAGTATAACTGCCAGTGGCCCTTCAATTATCCTCAACAGCATGAAATTCTTGCATTCTGTCACTCTTTCACACACAAATCTCACTGGCTATCTCCCAAAACATTGTCATTCAAATCTCACTACTATTGATTTATCGGGAAACAATCTCAAAGGAAAGATACCTCTTTCCTTAACACACCTCGAAAATCTTGTACACTTGAATCTGTCATCAAATTCCCTCAATGGAACGATTCCCACTACCTTTGGGGACTTGAATGCGCTGCAGAATCTTTCATTGGCGTCAAACTCATTGTCGGGATCGATCCCAGAATCATTAGCTGCAGTTCCCGGTCTAATGCACCTCGATCTGGGGTCTAATAAGCTCAACGGGACAATCCCAAAGTTCATACAAGACATGAAGAAATTGAAGTACTTGAATCTTGAGAAGAATAGTTTCCATGGAGTTCTCCCCTTCAATGCAACATTTATAAAGAGATTGGAAGTGCTCAAGTTGGGTGAAAATTCCAATCTTTGTTATAACCAGTCAATATTGGGCTCAAAAGTAAAGCTTGGGATTTCGCCTTGTGACAAACATGGATTACCTTTGTCTCCACCATCTGCTAAGGACTCATCTGATGATGATTCTAGCGACAGTTCTAATGATGAAGATTACAGTAATGTAGAGGAAAAACATCATTCCCATGGGCCAAGTAAGATTGTTCTTGGTGTTGCAATTGGGCTTTCTTCAATTATCTTTCTCATTGTTTTCCTGGTTCTTTTGTCCAAATGTTGTAAATAATTTCAAAACTCAAATGATTTCTTGGTTCATTTAGCTTAGGAGAATTCTGGGAGTTCTGATTTGAGATTAAATATATATATTATAAACAAGGGAAGGAGAACTCGATTGTGGGTGATTCTTTTGTTACTTTTTGATTTATGTACTGGAATGTGATTAAACTTAGACAGGGAAGGTGGCTAATTTTGTATCAAAATATTTATGGTTCTAAGCTTTCTTTATCTCTATTCCTTTGTAATCTGTATTGTTCTTGTGATGTAAGGATTTGCTTTTCTTACACCTTCAGCCTGTTATTTGTGTCTTTTTTGCTATTCAATTATTCGTTTTTGAGGCATTCGTAGCTTTAGAATCCATGGGTATTTGGTATTATAGTCTATGTTATCTGTTAACATTGTGATTCAGGCCTATGTGACAATTATTTAACTGAAATGAGCATGACTCCTAACTGATTGGTTGGTCGACTTGTTAGGCATGCCTTAATTGGCATTTGATAAGTAGTTTTGCATTGAATATTATCTAGGTTCAGACTATCAATTAAAACAGATCGGTTAATATACAAATGCTGATCGTTGACGTGTGATCACGTGAATGCAAGATGGTTAGTTTGCATGATTGCGTCCTGCTGCACTAAACAATCGCCCCACCCACCCCAATTTCAGCCACAATTATGTGAAATTCATTTTTACATGAAAACGATAGGTTTATGGTCAACTTTTATGTTAGTGCATTAGTTAACTTCTTTGACATTAGGTTTCTTGAATTAATGACATCAGTCTATTGCTCTTCTGGCTAGTTCAGTAACAGGTTCGCTCCTGAAATGGGTAAAATGGGATCTGTTGGATACATGCCTGGCCAAATAAAACCTGATTTCTGAGTTAAAGGGAGGCAGGATCGGTTTTTCTTATTTCCTTTCAATCTCCATTCATCTATTTACATGGTACCCATTTTATTAGTGACGGGTTCGATGTGGAATTGGCTTCAATTGGTGGTCAATTATTAAGAGTGGAATTTGAATGTGTGAAATGTTCCTTTAGAGGTATCAAGACAGACGGACGGGCCGGCCAGACCCATGAAAATCGGCCCGTGAAAATCGGTACCTCAGGCCGACCCGTGACTCGTGCAGGCGGTTCACGGGCCAAAGAGGTGTAACCCACGGGCTTCGCGGGTTTCACCCCCACAGGCCGCGGTTAACCCGCGACCCGTAAAAAAAAAATTTATAAAAAAAAAAAAACAAATTTTAAATATGATAACAAAGAAAATATGTCTTCTTCTCCAATCTCTAGTACAACTTTTAAAGGTAAATTTTCTTTTTTCTCCATAATAGCTAAGAAACGTAATGTTCTTGATTCTTCATCTCCTACTTCAACTTCAACTGTAAATCCACATACCACACCTGCTAAATTAGAAAGATATTATCAATTTGATCATTATAGTTTAATACCTGAAGATGAAATGGATAAGTTAGATATTTTACGATGGTGGAAATTAAATGAGCGGTCATACTCTGTATTATCTAAAATGACGCGAGATATACTAACAGTTCCAGTCTCCACAGTGGCATCCGAGTCTGCTTTTAGTACAGATAACAGGGTATTGGACGAACGAAGATCTAGACTTAAAGAAGATATTTTGGAAGCTCTCGTATGCGTGAAAGATTGGATATTCG